TTGGCGAATATCAGAAGGCTAGAGAATATCAAGAGAAAGCACTTGCCATCGCGATAGAAATTGGCGATAGAAAAGGAGAAGAAACAACATGCGGACACCTCGGAACTGTGTTTCGTTCCCTCGGCGAATATCAGAGGGCAAAAGAACATCACGAAAAAGCACTTGCCATCGCAATAGAAATTGGCGACAGAAAAGGAGAAGGAACAACATGTGGACACCTCGGAATTGTGTTTCATTCCCTTGGCGAATATCAGAAGGCTAAAGAATATCAAGAGAAAGCACTTGCCATAGGGATGGAAATTGGTGACAGAAACATGGAAGGAACAAGTTACGGGAACCTCGGAGCTGTGTTTGATTGCCTCAGAGAATATCAGAAGGCTCAAGAATATTACGAAAAAGCACTTGCCATTATGATAGAAATTGGCGACGGTGAAAAAGAAGGAACAGCATACGTTAGCCTCGGAGCTGTGTTTGAGTCCCTTGGCGAATATCAGAAGGCTAAAGTATATGAAGAGAAAGGGCTTGCCATCGCAATAAAATTTGGCGACAGGAGAGGAGAAGGTTTCGTACACTTAAATATTGGAAAAATTTACCTTAAGCTTCATAAAAATCGGGCAGCTAAAGAACATTTGGACAAAGCAGTCAGCGTCAGTATTACACTTGGTGACAGAAAACTAGAGGTCTTGGCTACTGTAAGTTTGGTAGCTGTCTTTGCTTCTGTCAATGACAGTCAGAAGGCAAAAGAGCATTTCGAGAAGGCGCTTACAATCAGCAGAGAATGTAGCGATAGATATTTGGAAGCACATGTTTATCTAAACCTTGGACGTGTATTCCAATCGTTTGGGGAATGTGGCAAGGCAGCAGATTATTTAGAGAAAGCTTGTTCCATAAGCAGCCATATTGGACACAAAATGGCTGAGTTTCACAGCCTTCTCAGTATTACAGTATTAAAGACATCACAGTCAGAGACTGTTGAGGCAATGGAATATCTTCTTCATTGTATTGGAAAATATGAACAAATCAGAACTCTACTGAAAGAAAACAGTGAATTTCAAATGTCTCTGTTGGAGGAACACGATACTTTTCCCTATCAGTTATTTACTGATTTGCTTTGCGATACTGGAAAATTTCGAGATGCTCTCTATGTTGAGGAGCTGGGACGAGCAAGAGTCCTCACAGAATTTATGGCAGACAAGTACTCCGCTGAAAGCCACATTTCAGCCGATCCACGATCATGGTCTGGCATTGAAAACGTCGTGAAAAGAGAAAGTAACTGTGTTTTTTTGTACATTTCATATAGAGATCGGCAAGTTCTTCTCTGGGTATGGAAAACAAATGGGGACATTTGCTTTCGAAAAACAGACGAGGTGAAAGTAGAGACTCTTATTGCTGAGCAAGTTTGCGAAGTGGAAGGAATTTTCAAAAAGAGCGCCGCCTGCTTTGGTGTTTTACCCACAGCGAACTGCGAAGACCGATCGCTGGATGACAACGTTCATGAAGAGAGCCAAGCAAATTTGCGAGGTGACAAAATCAAAGATACCGGAAGAAGTCATCATTTGTGCTACGAATGGATCTTCGCACCTGTGGCAGATTTACTTACAGAGCCCGAAATCATGATTGTACCGGATCGTTTTTCGTACCGAGTCCCATTTGCTGCCTTGCGTGATGGACCAGCTGGAAAGTATTTATCGGAGAAGTATAGAATACGCATCGTCCCTTCACTGACGACTCTCCGGCTCATTCAAGAATGTCCAGCAGACTATCACAGTCAAACTGATGCATTGGTTGCCGGTGATCCTACGGTTGGCAAAGTGCATTATAATGGATGTCTCACTGACATTACACCATTGTTCTGTGCAAATAAGGAAGCAGAGATGGTTGGTCAACTGCTGGGCGTTCAGCCTTTGTTAGGAAGTCGCGCAACAAAGCACGCGGTTCTTCAAGCAATACCTTCAGTGAGTCTGGTACATCTTGCTGCCCATGGAAATGCCGAAAGAGGAGAGATTGCCCTCTCTCCTCAGTATACTTGTAACAGTACTCCACAAGAGGAAGACTACCTCCTGACAATGTCCGACATCGAAGGAGTTCAAGTGCGAGCTAAACTAGTAGTACTTAGTTGTTGTCACAGTGGGCGTGGATTGGTCAAAAAGGAAGGAGTGATTGGAATCGCTCGAGCATTTCTAGCATCCGGTGCACGTTCAGTGTTGGTAGCATCGTGGGCTGTAGAAGATGAAGCAACGTCGAAGCTCATGAAACATTTCTACAAACACCTTGTTCGTGGAGAAAGTGCGAGTGAATCTCTTCACCAGGCTGTTCAATGGTTGAGAAGCAATGGCTTCCCCAGACCTTTCCAATGGGCTCCGTTTGTGCTGATGGGAGATAACGTGACATTTTATTTTATGAAAAAAGGGTACGTCTGATTATAATGAGAAATTTTCTAAGATGAACCGATAAACATACTTAACTTGTTCAGTTTACTCAGTTGTCGTAATTTTGTTTGTTTGTTTTTGTCTTTGTCTTTCATCAATGAAATGCCAAGAAAAAGCAGTTAGTTTTATCTAGTGCAAAGATAAAAGATTCTGACGAATTACTTTCTAAAATTGGCGTTGAATGAGAGTTTCTTATGTATGTTTTATACTCAGAAATAATTACTCAAGTCGATACGATGCTAGATGCTATGACGATGACGGTAACTTGAGAAGCTAAAAAAGTTAACTTTATCTGCAAAAAATAAAGAAAAATAACAGTAAATTCACAATCTTAGTCACTTTTGAATCATACATGGTATGTTCGACAGGTCTGGATGATCATAGCCAATGTCATGACGAAAAAAAGTAATTTCTTTTATTGGAAATCTGTTCCGTTCACTTCAAAGTTGAAATAGAGACACATGTAAAAATTTATTTTTTAGGAAAGAAGAACTCGAGGAGGACAGCAACGAGGCGGAAAAGAAACAGGGTGATAACTGATGCTACACAAAGATTCTTCTTCCTGTACGCTGGACACTAGTATTACTTTACGAAGACGTTTTTAATATTCTTTTTAAGTCGAGAATTAAAATTTGCGTGCTCTTGTAAGAGGGGTTTACGTTTAACGTACAGTGCGCAATATAATCGCAACAAAAAAAAGTGAAAAAGTAGAAAAAGTGGATTGAACATTGACAAAAACATCAGATTGGAAAGAAAAGGTCATGATTTATTTATACTTCAAAGCTGTCTCAAAACTATCAACTGATCAAATTATGACTAAACTGGGCTTGGAACCTCTCTATTATAGAAGACGGACACACATTTTAAGATTTGTTGATGAGTGCATTGCAAATAGAGTTCCCAGATACCTTTCTAATTATTTCAATGTAAGAAACCGTGACATTCACCGCCACAAAACTAGAATAATAATGACCTTATTTTAGAAAAAATTAATTTAGAATGCACCAAGCGTGCTTTTTCCTACAAAGGTGCAAAAATTTTTAATAATTTTTAATAATTCTTAGAATTTATAACTGTTCGATCTTTCGTTTAGTGTAACTATTTTGTAATATTGTAATTTGATTTTTATCTATATTTTAAATCTTTTTTTATTTTTATTTTTATATTTTTAATTTTTTACAGGACCTACATTGATAGCAGTTTTTTTTCTTAAAACTGAAGCAGCAATCCTGCATAAATATGTTTGAATAACATAACATAATATTGCGCGAAACTGTGCACAAGACACTGATGTTACAAACGGTAATACCGTAGGCATGCAAGAGTAATTTTTTTAGCGGGGTGAGTTGAGGTGGGACACTGTGTAACTGATGTTTTCATTTTTGGAAAAGAAAAAGAGCCTAAACCTTAAGAAGAACGAAAATATCGTATTACTTTACTTCTGTAAGAGAGAGGAAAAAAAAACCTTCCAATTTGTCTAAAATAAACTCGCACATAGGTATTTCGTGGTCTATCGTCTATGTGGTCTGAATAATTATAAACGAAAATAAACTTACTTAACCTTTACGCAGAAGATGAAGCAATGCCTTTGGTGGGAACATGGCAACAAGAATAAGTTAGTTGACTAAAAAGCGTCCGTTGGTGCCGTGGAAATTAAGAGTGCCGATTTGAAAGATAAGTTTTGCTCTAGAGTTTAGAGTTCAGCTACTGTCATATTTTCCATTGTGATTTATTATGGACAAACGCTCGAAACGTCAGCCTAGAAAGTCTTTACGGTGGCCAATTTCCATTTTCAACTCAGGTGATGAAACCAAATTATCTTTTAGTTCCTTAGCTTAGTTTAGTGGTCACCCGTCATCTTATTTTCAATTGTAATCTATCATATGGGGGCGTTAGTTTAGCCCTTTAGACAAGTAGGGGTTGTTGAAAATCACGTTTTACAATTTAGTTGTAAAAAACTCGTTCAAGTAAAGTGGAGCCGTAGTCAGTATTCTGAAGTGTCACGATCGGACATAGCTGATCCGTCTCCTGTCAGACCCGGACAAAAAGTAACCGTTATGTGGGGGAGGCAGAAGAAAGAGCACACTGCTGTTGTTGAATGCTACCCAGTAGAGCCTGAGGAGTCAGAACACACGGAGCATCAGGATGGCTCTCCTCCGCGTCGAGCAAAGAAACAGTTGGTAAGTTATTTACTTCCCTTTTTATCTTTAATAACTACTCGACAAGATTATCTTACTAAAGATCGAGTTAACATAGTTGAAAGTTTGACAACTATGTAAGGGACAGCGACGAAGATTCAGACAACTTGGAACCTCTGTTTGCGACCGCTTTGGTAACCATTGCGAAAGAAAAAACCCTAGCAAAACCAAACACCAAACGCATTTATGGCATGTTCTTTCGTTTGACTCCAAAGAGTTATTATCGATTATCTAACTTCTCTCCTCGTAATATCAGCCCTAAATCACTCGTTTAGGTCAGGATAGTAAAAGAAATGATCTCCATCTAGATCTTAATCGGTGTAGAAGACACAGTTGACGTAACAGACAGACAAAAGAACGAGGAAAAATGGACAACAATTTTCCGTCGGTTGTCGGGTAAATCGTTCATCTGGAAGGCTCCTTAGTCCTGCATAGCAACTAATCTGAACGGTTCACTCATTTGGATATATCGACCATGTCGCTGGTGGTAAGATTATGCCGGCATTCTAGGGGCTGGTGCCCTCTTTGCATTTTATGGAGAAGACGAATGTATCATGCATCGAGATGGAAAAGTTAGGCATCCACGCGGAAGATCACCCAATCCTATCAACGGAACAGATTGCGTTGTCCTCTCTGACGTCCGTGACTCTACAGAATTCTGCTTTGGCGATTTGGATGGCAAGGAAATATCCCCAAATCATGTCCAACTCCAGAACTCCGATAGGTGCACCTATAGAAGCTTAGAGATTATTCGCAATTTTCCGCATCTTTTTTCAAGAGAGCACGCAAGAGAAACACTTCAAATTTTCCCAAATAATACTTTAATTCTACTTTTAGCCTCTCTTAATTAACAGAAACCTTTGCCCAATATCAGGCTACAAAATGTTCGAAATTCGGACTGTTGTCTCTGACACGCGACGTGTACAAATCACCAGTTTAAGACGGGAAAAAAGTCACGGTAGCGATTTAAGCGAAACATTCCTAACCTTATAAACTCGTGTGATGAACGCAGTTTTGACTTTACACCAAAGTTTTTCGGTCATTATTTCATATGTTTCTTTGTGCTTCAATTATATGACCTCAACTAACCTTACACATAATATTTATAACGGCACCCCCTCAAGGCAACTCAAGTTAATCTCGCACCCAGATCATACCACGTAACTGTTACAGCCGCTTGGCCGTGGAAGGTCT